CCCCCCCTGCTCCCCCCAGCCTCTTGCTTCCACTGCCGTGTCCCCCTTCTCCCCCATCACGAGGGTATGAAACCGAAGACTGCTTAAATTCTCGCTTTTTTTTTGCTTTTTTTTCCCCCCCAAAAGTACTAAAAATAACCTCCCTTGTGCCTCCCTTCCCAGGAGAAGCCGATCTTTCTTATGCTGTTCCCAAGCTCCCAGCCCCTACATCTTGCTGGTGTTGGATGTAATAATTTTTGAAAGCTGTACCCCATGCTCTGGTTCATGTCACTAATCTACGTTACTCAGGAATATTTCATCCCCTGGCAGTTTATTCCTGCCTTTAGGAAAAACAACTCTCACATATGGTCTGTAGCGTGCAAGGCCCCTTCCCAATGGTCTGCAGAAAAAAAAAAAATATTGACAACCCAAGCAGTGGCAAGACACGGCAACATATGAGAGATGCTACAAAAGCCCGCTCCTGTTCCAAAGCAACAAGCCAGAGAATCCGTAGGGAGGCTAAAATCACTTTCATTTTTAACTACAGGTACCAATATCTACAGGTTTTAGTACCTTACAGCACATGCCACAGAATTGTGGCATGCTCGGACGTCCCTGCGGCGTGTGCGCTTACCTCTGCCTCCGGTCCCAAACGCTGTCACGGGGTGTCTGCATCCCAGGCCCCTCTGGATCCACGCAATGCCTCACACCCCAGCTGAGAAAGGTGCTCTCAGTTCCTCCGGCTTTGTTTCACTGCCTTTGGTGATGTCCCGGGGCTCAATACTTGTCTGGTCACCGCACAGCCCAGGCTAGACAGGAGCGTGCTGGAAAAAGTACAGATTTTAGGGGCATTTGTCATACTTGTTAAAAAATAACAGGCATAAACCTAGATATTTCCCTTTATGGGTGACAGGGGAAGCGTGCACAGTAATTAGTAAATACATCCTACTTAGTGGTTTTTGTCACCGGTCCCTTCTAGCTCTTCATCTACAGCCAACACAGTTCTGTATATAAGATTTTGTTGAAAGAAAGCTTGTGTTCAATTTCAGTAGGATTCTAGATATTTTCATTTTAAAAAAAAACATATCAATTTAAAAGTTAAATTGTGACAGAGAGACAGAAAGAGAGACATGTTCTGGGAAATTTGACTGAGAAGTAGGAGCAATTGTACTGTACCTTTCCATTACAGCTGAGCTATAATTGGTCTAATCTCTACTATGAAAGAACAAAATATTGGAATCTGTTGTGCGGCGAGGCAAGTTACTTTACATGAATCTGAGAAACAGGTAGCTCTAAGCACAGTATCCTCCTTACTGCAGAACATCGCAGACGTATCGGATACAGGTTTTAGGGTTACTCTACAACATCTTCCTGTATTCTTTGAAAATACCACATTTAATGCCCACTGATGACACTAAATCATAACGCACGTAGGAGAAAGAAGACTCAAGGTTTCACATCCCACTTCAACCTCCCCATGTCTCAATTCCACCCTTGAACTAACTTGGTGAATTTAATGTTCTTCCACTATGGAGAAGGACTCAATGAAAGACGGACGTAAGTAAAATTTACCGTACCTCCTGGCTAACGTCACCTAAGCAATACTACTATTAGTTGATTTGGTTAATTTTAAAAGTCTTCTCAAGAATGGGGTAAATTGTGTCTGATTTGCAGGCTTTACAGAGACAATCAAGTCACTCGACTTCTCTCAATGGGAGCTTTGTCTGAATGGCAGCAGGATCTGGTGCCGGGCAAGATGGAAATGTAGTTAATGCTTGGTCTTCAGGAAGACGTTGACAGATGAAACTCAAATGTTTCTCGTCCCTTTTCAGATATTCTTGCCGTAGTGCTTTGCGTGTGCTTTGTGCCTTTGATCCCCGTTTGGCTGATTATACCAGACTCCGAGGGTTAGGCCGTCCAACTCGCGCTGACGTCAATGAGCCTTACATGCAAAAAATCCTACTG